CTACAGGAAGCCCAAGGCAGAGCTGCTCTGCCCCGGGCTTCCTGGAATCAGCCCCTGATCAGTTTCAGCAACAGCTGACTTGGGTACACCTGGGACAGAGCAGCTGGGGCGCTGCTGGGTTGGTCCCCGCAGCGCCGAGGTGTGGCGCTGCGGGGACCTACCCGGCAGCGCCCCAGCTGCTCTGTCCCAGGGGTCCAGATTCAGCTGCTGTTGAAACTGATCAGTGGCTGATTCCAGGAAACCTGGGGCAGAGCAACTCTGCCTCGGGCTTCCTGTAGTCAGCCGCTGGTCAGTTTCAGCAGCAGCTGAATCTGGACGCCAGTTCCGACTTACATACAGATTCAACTTAAGAACAAACCTACAGTCCCTATCTTGTACGTAACCCGGGGACTGCCTGTATTTTAATTTCCAGTGTTTTCCTCCTAACTTCCAGATGTATGTAATAGATTCAAGCACCTACAGTAATGTCAGTTCTGTATTGCTCTATGTATGTTAGGTGACATGTAGGCTCAGTATGGTTAGAGTTTGGAGCACTACAATAAAAGCTGTGTTACTTAGCCCTGTACTAAGCAGAAAGCTCTATAAACTGGCTTTTCTACTCTTCAGAAAAAGTCCAGTTGGTGCAGGGCTAGCAGGCTTCCCAAAAGTGGCATCAGGTGCCTGCTGCTCCTAGGCAGAGGAAGAGCCACAAGGAGTAAGGTGTATGGAAGGGAGTGGTTTCAGGTGCTGAAGGGGGTGCAGGCTCTGGGAGGGAGTTTGGGTGCAAGAGGGGACTAGGGTCTCCCAATCAATGGAAACTGCAGAGCTAGCTCTTGGGGCAAGGCAGGGCTGGGGCCACACGCAGAGCTGCCTACCTGTGCCTCCAGCAGGAGCAGCAGGGAAAGGTTGCTGATTGGGGGGAACCACCCAGAGTGAGTGCCCTGCAGAGCCAGCCCCCATCCCAGTCCCCTCCCATGTCTCCACCACACATCTCTTCCAGCACCAAAACTCCTTCCCTCTTAGTTAACCGGGATTTTTCACTTACTGGCATTCCCCATTCTCCCAACATGGTGGATCAAAAAGCTTTTACAGTACTTCCACTCACATGCTGTGTGCTCAGACCATTTGCATTGTTCAGTTAGAAAGAGTGACACAATGTCATTGTGTATAAAATCCTCAAAATGAGAAAGGTATAATTATCAAAAAATAGGAGCACAAAAGTGAAAAAGGGAGAAATAATATTTTCTATTTGAAGGTTTCTTTGCAATTGGGTGTTGAAAACTCAAGTAAGATAATATCAAACATTTTGAGACTTAGTATTATTTACTATTTTTTACTACAGCACTGAGAGACCCCAATTAGTATCAAGGTCAGTGTAGGCACACACAAAGTCATGGGCCTGGATCCTAAAAGGTATTTAGGTACGTAGCTACCACAGGGGGTGAGAATAAGTTAATTTTTTTACAGGTACTATTATATTAACCTGCTCCCAGGAGGAGGCTCGGGGCAGAGAGTTGGTGATGTGCAATATGACAGTACCTGTAAGAAATTCAAGTGTGGGGCGGAATGCAGAGGGCTCAGGACAAGGGATTGTGAGGTGCGTGGATGTGGGGTGACTCAGGGTGGGGTATGCAGGAGGCCGGGTAAGGTACTGGGGATGTGTGGAGGTGCACAAATCAGTGTTGGAGGTGTGGGGAGGGGCACAGGGCAGAGGATTGGGGTGTGGGAGGTGCAGGCATCAGGACAGGGGGCTGGAGGCGTGGGGGGGGGGCTCAGGGCAAGGGGTTGGTATGTATAGGGAAGAATGGGGGAGCAAGAGTACTGGGGCGGGGCTAAAGCCCCTCCCGATTCCTATCAACACCGCTTGTTGCTTGGTCTTCCCTTTCCACCACTGCCAGGGACAAAAAGGGGAGTGCACAGCAAGGGTGGCTCACTCCTCTACCCCCTCCCCACATCAGGCAGGAGGGAGAGAAAGGCAGGGATGCTGTGCACATTCCTCTTGCTGCCTGACAGTGATGGATTGGGAACAGCAAGCAAAGGGCAACATTGGAAGGAACTGCTGGGCTTCAGGCCTCCGTCCCCACTCTCCCCAATGGCACCTTGGGAGGGCAGGGACACTCCCAGACAAATGTGGGCCATCCCCCCAGCCACGCCCTTTCACCTGCCTGCTCTTTGGCATGGCAGCCTGCAGGAGTCCTGGGAGCTGTCTGGAAGCGTGCCACCCCTCCGCCTGAAGCCGAATACTCCAGCCGGCTCTTACCAGTGTGTTGCACTGGGGCTCACAGTCTTACTTTCATCTCTAAGCTCTCATCTAAATCCCTCTGAGGATCTAGACTATGGTTTCTGCCTTGAAGAGCTTACTGTGAGTATATAGAGTTTGAAGTGCCAAAAAGGAAAAAAAGAAATGCATGTAATGTATCTGTCTTTCCCTGGAAACAGAATGGCTGTGTCTACATTGGCATCCCTTTCCAGAAAAGGGATGCTAATGAGACATATCGCAATTGCAAATCTGCGGGGGATTTAAATATCCTCCGCGGCATTTGCATTTACATGGCTGCCGCTTTTTTCCGGCTTGGGGATAAGCCGGAGAAAAGCGCCAGTCTAGACATGATTCTCCAGAAAATAAGCCCTTTTCTGGAGGATTTCTTATTCCTACTTTCAAGTAGGAATTTCCTACTTTCAAGTAGGAATTTCCTACTTTCATGTAGGAATCAGAAATCCTCCGGAAAAGGGCTTATTTTCCGGAGAATCACGTCTAGACTGGCGCTTTTCTCCGGCTTATCCCCAAGCCGGAAAAAAGCGGCAGGCATGTTCATGCAAATGTCACGTGGGATATTTAAATCCCCCGTGGCAGTTGCAATTCCGACTGGTCTCATTAGCATCCCTTTTCCGGAAAAGGGTGCCAATGTAGACACAGCCTAGAGGTGTTAAACCAATTGTGCATTTTGTTTTCATTCCATCGCCTCTCCAATACAACTTGGTTTTGCTAAGATTACTGTTGAATGGATAATTTCATGTAAATGCCCCCAATGAGAAAAGAATCATTCCTCTCTTCTAAAGAGATGCTGAGGACCAGGGAGTCACCTGAACATATAATCATGTTTGAAAGGATTAACCTTTTTAATCAGTAAATATCAGTAAACGTTGATTTCACCATGGGCTCACAAACCAATGAAGAAATATTTTGACCAACAATAGAAATGTGCACAAAGACTTGAGAATCTATTAGCGTTTAAGGGTATTTACTTGGAATATTTTGACAATTTGTGTTTTAATGTTTATACTCAGGCTTGACAAATAGCATCAATCCATACCTCTTTTCCTGAGTAGCACTTATTGAAAAAAGAGTTTTGCCTTTCCTGTAATTTTTGGGGAAAAATAGTCTTATCTACCCAGGCAATTTTCAGTTCCATGTTTCCCAAAGAAGGCAAATGTACATCTGCAGATTACACTGTGGACATGGATTAGGTTTTATTACCACCATATTGGAAAGTGAGACAACACAGCAGTAAAAACAACTGAGCCTGTCTGAGTTTTCTCTGCCTTGCAGTTCCCACTGCAAGGAGCTCACCCCAGTAGTAATTTATAATCTGACAAATCCTAGTTAGCCACAGGCACTGAGATTGCCATCTAGTCCCCTGATATTACAGATGGTTACTGACATAGTTAACCTCTCACAACTAGTCCAACTGAAGTCAACAGGATTAGCATGCATAGGATTTTGAAAGACTGGGTACATAAAACTGAAAAAGTAATTACAAGGTCTGATTCTGATTCCACTGAAGTTAACAGAAATTCTTAGGTTGATGGGAGCATGTCAGGTCAATAAATTGCATAATAAAGCTCATGCTGTCCAAGTAAATAATCATCCCTGCTTATATTTGAAATGTAAATAGGCAAATTGCTGTAGCCACTGGAAAAATATTTCCCTTGCTAAAGTTACTCTCCCCATGCTCTTCTGGTTTGGTGGTTTAATTAAGATGAATGACTTTATGCTCACCAGGGTTCCATAGCAGCTGCACTCCAATGCTTACTCTTCGTCTTTCTCCCCCCGACACACCTCGGATGTATTCATTCCCTACTCTTGTGTCTGCACACTGTCGTAACCGCAATTCTGATATAACATTTTCCACCTGGAGGTTCCATGATAAAGGGTTAGTGGTTTTATCATTAACTACAATTTACAGTGCATGTCCAAAATTATGTTTGGTTTTAATCATTGTTCAAATATTACTGTGATCAATAGCCAGTTTGAAATAAAACAACTTTTTCAAAGGTAACATTTTCTAAAAGTTAAGCAATTAATTTCTCATTTTAGCTCCCCTAGAGCTTTCCCTAAATTGCTTTGGAACAATTGCAGCCTATTATCTAGAAGCAAAAACAAACAAACAAAACTATTTATAAGCAAATATAGACAAATCAAGTTTGACTTTACAATGTACATAACATATGCCAAGTTCACATTAAGAGTTCTTACCCCAAATGTGGTTGGATAATTATATCAAATACAATTTTGACAACTTTATTATTTTCTAGCAGTTTAATTACCCTTTTTTCCCTTTGTGAGTCTGAAAATGTCTTCGGGAGACGCAGTTTTGCAACAAATAATAATGTTTCCTTGACGGTCAGGTTGGGTAGTAGTCGATCATCTTGCTGCACATGTGCAATGCAGTTCTTAACAAGCTGGTGAGTACTGCGCTTTCCATTGATTATGATTTGGCCAGACTTAATTTTTCCACCATGATCTCGACAGGTTATCACATCAAGTAAGGATGTTTTTTCACAGGCTAGAAAAATCATAATTTAAATAGTTAAAAAAATCTTATTGGATCAAATTCTAGAGCTTGTCTATTTGGTCACAAAAATGAGGCAAAAGTTTTCCCCACATTGATGTACCTTTATATTCACCCCCCCCCCCCCCGCAAGCTTTATCTGTAGCTTATTTCAGAATCCTAGAAGGAGAACAGAACAGCTTGTTAAGAAGAGTGTTTATGTGTTATAGGGGTAACAGCAACAGGCAGAATGGAATTTGGGACTCTGGAGCTTAAAGCATGAGCCTCTACTCTGCATGAGTTAAAAAGCCAGCTGTCTCTCAACTAAGGCTGTAGAGCAAGCTCCTTCTTTCTCTCTCTAAGTGGCATTACATGGGACACTACAGCACATCAGTATGTGTGTGGGTTACATAAGGATGAAGTTTATGGCCTCTATCCCATTAACCCAGAGTGCTCCCCCTGGACTACATTTGCAGAGGTATTGCCTGCAGGCAGAGTGAGAATTGGAGCAGAGAGTTTCTACCTGATGCTTCTCCTGGCTGCCCTTATCAACATGATGAGCATGGTATGAGATGGGGAGAAAGAGAGATCAGACAGACAAACCAAGTAGGAATGTAAGTCTTGAGGCATATTCTTATGCAAACAGCCAGGCAGAATTTGGCTCCGTATTTTTAAAACAAGTACATTTAATCGGTGTTTCAAACACTTTCTGAAACAGGAGATGAGCATTTGAAACTAATTGGAGGATCTAAGATCCAGAGTTCTTAGGAAGTGTAGTAGGTTTCAATAATTAGCAGTCCTCAGGTTTGGCTGTTTTGAGCCAAAGATTTAGGACATAGAGTAAAAATCCAGTGCTCCGGAACTCCTGATGGTCCGGCACCATCAGGAACCCGGAAGTGCTCTGGCTGCCGGACAATTGGAGCTGCTCTGTGCCCGGCTGCCCTCATTCAGCCGCTGCTGAAACTGACCAGCAGCTGAATCGGGGAAGCCAGGGGCAGAGCAGCTGGGGTGCTGCCGAGTTGGTCCTGTAGTGCTGCCCCTGGGAACTGCGGGACCAACCTGGAAGCACTCCAGCTCCTCTGCTCCAGGCGTCCCCAAGTCAGCTGCTGCTGAAACTGATCAGTGGCTGACTCCAGGAAGCCCGAGGCAGAGCTGCTTTGCCCTAGGCTTCCCAGAGTCAGCTGCTGGTCAATTTCAGCAGCGGCTAAATGGGGACAGCTGGGGTGCTGCCAGGTTGGTCCCGCATCCCCAATGGGGCAGCGCTACAGGACCTACCAGGCAGACCC